TACGTAATCCCACATTAATTTGTTTATTATATATAAATCACATAATGATAAGATTAACTGGATTAACATTTCATTTATAATCATTCAACATGATGCACTGTTTCACTGTATGATTTATACTGAACAGATAAACCATTATGAAATTAGACTTTCTAGACATTGGCAGTAATCATTTTTATAGCATAACTTTTTCTAATTAGAAAAATATATCCTGTATAATTCTTATTTAAGTGCTTAATTTCATTAATCCCAAGGGAAAATACTCATCCAGACATGGAAATGAGAACAAATAGTTCAGTGAAGAGTCTCTTTTCAGCGAATTCATTTAGCTAGCTGTACAATCGCAGTTATTTATAATTATTTTCATATATGTGTATGCGTAACACAAGACATTCGACTAGCACAGTAGCCTGATGTGACACTGACTAGATCAGTATACAGGAAATATATGTGGAATGGCCAGTCAACAGACTTTTACAGTTGGGCATCCATAAATCGCAAGCGAGACTCGGTAATATCTCTTGCTAATGGGAGCCGAAGAATCAACAACCTTAGGTCAACAGATGAAGAGGTCGCTGTTTTGAGGAAGACACTGTCCACACTTCACAGACAAACATATAAAGCCGAAAAACGACAAAGAAAATCAAATCTCTGTGCTGAAGAAGATCCTATACATGAAATTAACTTTCATAGGCGACCTTCTGGTCAACGTTCTAGAGAAGAGAATGTCAAATTTGCTGTAAAGGATATTTTCCACTTTTACATCACGACTGGTATCCTCATGCCACCTAGTGCTCTCCAGTGACTCTGAAGATAGACTGTCACGTTTGACCACTTCACATTATCCCACTTAGTTACAGAAGGGTAACTGTGGATTAATAAGGAATGCTATAGTTGAAAATATATTCTACGCTGGTCACCCAATATGTTCCGAGAATTCATTAAAAGTCATCTAAAAAGTGAAAAGAAACCTCTCAAGAACGGTATGCTATTCACACACACACACACACACACACACGCAGACATACAAAAATAATTATATATTTAATTGCGATTGTACAGCTAAGTGAATGAATTCACTGAAAGGTGAATCTTCTCTAAACCTGTTTGTTCTAGTTACACTAAGTGAGAATAACATGGCAGTAATCAGGCTTTACATTCCTTTGACTTCCGACATGCAGACAGAACACAAGGCTTCAAGGCTGAGATTTTTGAAGTTTCAATGGCAGTAGTATTGTTTAACTTTGATGATGTGTACTCGCCAGCCTTATACCCAACCTTCTTCCTTTGGTGGGTTTGCTACCAGCTAAGCAGGAGAAAGTGGAGATGGATTGGACACTCGCCAAGGATGCCGCTGGGTGACATCGCGCGTCAGGCCAGTGCTCGAGTGGAACCCGAAAGGGAAGCGGCAAGTGGGACGTCCAAGGGTGACATGGAGGAGATCGTGTGAAGAGGAGTTGAAACAGTATGGACTAACATGGATACAAGTGAAAAGTACAGCAGAAGACAGAAACAAGTGGAGACGTGTAGTTGAAGCCCTATGTTCCACTAGGAACCCATGGGAACAATAATAATAAGCGAGGTTTAAGGTGTAATGTGTCCGCCGGGTATCGAACCCTGACCATGTATGTGACTGACTGGCAAGTATTCTACCACCAAACCACAGAAGCAAAGCAGGAATAACTTTTAATATCTAAGAGAGAGAGTGTTTCCCGAAGTGTCACTCTTTTTGAAATTATACCCCATTAGCGACTTTGTGATAAATTGGCGTAGAAATGCTTAATAAACTAACATTTAATACACGTTAGCCCACACTACTTCTCTTTAAGGTGATAAAAACCGAATGTCTACTTTTACCTTTTTTTATGGGAAACAATCAGTTGATGTGTTTCTCTGAAGGTAGTGAAATTAAATATCCATGAAACCAGGAAAGATTTTAATCAGTATAAAAACATTACCGTAAGAGCGGAATTAGTCATGGTGTTGTAGAGTATTATTCCATGTTAGGCAAGTTTATTTGATACATAACACACACACACACATACACAGTGACTGATAGAGTAGTGATAACTGGATGACGTTTCAAGCACAATGTACTGCTCATAGTCATAATAATGTATTCAGACGATTTTATTACAAATTAGAAAAATGATTAATAGTGAATAACTGCCCACCAGATTTTATTCAAAAATGTGTGAAGACCCATGAGGAGAACAAGTTTAATAGCGTAAATAATGAAACTGACATGAATTATAAAGAATTCAAGAGCTTGATAGTACTGCCATATAAGGAAGGTATATATCAGAGCACTTTTGTAGGATTCTTAATAAGGTTGGAACTAGGGTATCATTTAAAGTAACCATTTCACTTAGAGATAAATTTTGTCAGCTTAAGGATCCAATAGATCCAATTAGAGAAAACGGTATAATTTGCCAAATAACATGCAGTGATTATATGGTCAATTACATAGGTCAAACTAGAGGATGACCATCAACTGAATTGTCGGTATATAGTTACATCTAGAATGATTTACCCTGATAACTCATGTAATCTGGAAAAACTCATTGATAGCAATGTTTGAATTTCTTGTCATCACTCAACAGGGTTAAAGTATTAAAAAGCAATTTAGTTAGCTGGAGATAATGACGAGATTAATCATTATTCTTCGAATCAAAACCAGACATGTGTGGAGCACGTAACAATATGATTGTACAGTTTTTTGTTAGGTGTTGAAATTAGCGACATTGTACATGACTTTTGTTTAAAACGATTCATGTTGGAATATAGATTACTTCCGAGTACAATCTAAAATACAGTGTACTGTTGGTCGTTTCGTTTTCTCACTGGTCTATACTGTCTACTTGCTTCACTCATAACCGTGTTGTATACTTTGAAGTTTTGCAGGAACCTCTTATCCTCATCCGAAGACAATTCTACAACTGGTACACAGCTTCTACCAGTAGACAGGACTCCAGCAGTGAACGCTTCTTTGGATTGTATTAATAATTTGTAGCCGTGGACTTTAACAGTATATTCAAATAACCATTTTATATGATATGCATTGTTACACTATCATCTTATTGACTTGGATTTTTATTAACATACTTGCACGTGCACAACCAAAGTGATGCAGCGCCTTTATCAGATATGTGAAAAATTGCATTTAAAAGAATAAGGGGTTGAAGGCATACAAAGCAAGTTGGGAAGTTCCATGCATACATTGATTTGATTGTGATCAATAAATTGGGCTCAGAGAGTTAATCAGTTATCGATATCACATCACTCACCATGTTATATCAAATAAAATTACTTGACATGCAACAATCTAGTCGTTATTGCTAGCAGAGAGAGCTTATAACATTCATACTATGAATTATTATTACATGGACGAAGACACCTCCTCCTTGGAAGCCTTCGACCAAGATTGTTTATTAATTGCTAATAACTGACAAGCCACGTCAATAAAAGTAAATAACTAATGCCACTTCTCAGATTAGAAACTGCATCAGAGGCTGTAGTCACAGTCAATACCCCTGAGGTATATGCGATCATGATTAACTTCCTGTAGGATAGCAATTCATAATTAACTTGGTGAGCACACTGAGAAATTGAATCACAGAACCGCATGGATACATCACGTAGATTATCACTAATGACAGGTCCTCATGAAATGTCTTACACGAACCATACAAAACTGACATGAATGATCAAGCGCAAATCAACACAGTCTGCAAACTGGTTTGCAATTTGCAACCTGCACAGTTCAAGTGGTGAAATTTAACCATGGTAGTTTCCTTTTGAAACCAAATTATTCAGATCACAGTCTTTGATCTGCTTGATACGACAAATCAAACATATTTGCACAAAACTATATACTACTGATTGACTGAGATGGGTAGTTGTATACCACCCATATAAAAACCAGTAGTGTGTTTGCTAGTCAGATCGAAGTGATCTGAACACCAACGGACTGCTGTTCCATTCGTCTTTTGCCAAGCTCATCAACGGTGTGTTCGGTGTACTCAATCTGACTCAACTTGGGGAGGTGAATCACTTTAGCCCAACCGACTTCTGGCTAGCTACTTTGTCAGACTGGTCATACCATAAATCAAATTCACGATTTAGATCACCTCGATCTGTCTGTCAAGCACTACTCTCTGTTATGAGTGATATGCAACTACTCATTTCAGTCATTCAGTAGTATATGGATGGAACATAACTTCGTAAATATAATAATACTCCTAAAAATTGCAAGTTTGATCACTAGCTCAAATCAGTTAGAGAGCCGTTAGAATATCAAGGGGGTACTGGGCGGCTGTTTCAGCCTAGTTTGAGTCCAACTCTTCATCAGTACGTATTCACCAGAGGTGGGGCCAGGGACGTTCAGGTTAAAAGGTAAGCTTGTAGACAATTCAGACAATGGGACCCGATCAAATGCCCACACCATGAATTCCAGCTTCTACTAGTTCCTGATCTCAGTGCGACCAACAGCTAATGTCATCGGTGAGTATTTGTCCTCATGCCCGACGTGGTAGACCCCACTGGTCACCACTTCTCACTAGAATTCCAGTCAACTTCGTCCTATAGTCAGTCACTCATAGCAATCAGTAGTCTGTACCACCATTTCCTCTGCAACTAACCAGCTGAAACTATTTTAAAAAAGGATATCTAATACCACTTGGGTGAATAGTGTGTGTCAATTCAACCAAATGAATTACAGGATAACAGTGTGGCGTGTGCTACTGATAATATTTATCAGTAGTATATACATATAAAGAGATGTTCATCGGCATAAAAGCACCAAATATTAGGAAGTTAGATTTGATGTCACAGAAAGCAAATAATACACCGCTGTAGAGATACATGGGAGACGTGAAAGGAACACAAAGAAACACAATATGAAGGAACGCCAGAAGTGGCAGGCACAACACGGAAGATCTGTGTTCTATTATTATTCACAAAAATAAAAGTAATAATAGGAAAAGGCAAGTATGACTTACATCTTTCACGTGTTAACGGTGATATTAAGTGTAGGCCGACACTAGCTGCACCAGCACTTTCACCCATTATAGTTATCTTGTCTGGGTCACCACGAAACCATGCAATATTCTCTTTAACCCATGTGATGGCGAGCAACTGATCCCATAGACCATAATTTCCTATAGATGCATAATCACCGGTTGACAGAAAACCTAATACAAAGAGAAAACACACCACAAACAAACAAAATAAGTTAAAGATTTCCAAGTTAAGAAAAATGAGTAAGATTACTGGTGGAAAAGAAGTATGATTGGATTCAATTTTAGATTTTCCCGTCGATTTATTGAACCGAAATGCTCATTCTCAGGTTGACATGTCGGCTCCTTGTGCAGACGCTTCGACGATGTCTGGTCATGTAACTTGAAGCCAATTGGTTGGTGGTGACCAGCAGTGGAATCCAGGATGGGCATTTCGTCCTATCTGAGACTCTTCATCTGGATGTACATGAACTCTTCAGTGAGTGACGGTGTTTCCACCGGAGCTCGAATCCAGTGATCATAGTCCCAGACGCCGAAGCTTTATCTACTGGACCACTTGGGCAGTGAGAACCACCTCTTATTGATTATTCAATTCACTTTAGATTTTCCCGTCGACTGATTAGACCGAAATGGTTGGTCTCAGGCTGAAAAGTGGATAACGCTTTGGCATTTGATACTATAGGCACTGGATTCGAACCTCGGAGAACACCACTACTTACTGGGGAATGCAGTTACATCCACTAGCTGACGAGTTCCGAATAGGACGAAATGCGCATTCTGGATTCCACTGCTAATCATCATCAAGCAATTGATTTCAAAACAGAATTGGTTTTCTTTCTTGATCAAGTCAGAAGTCACAGATTATCAAATTCCAAGACGTTGGCTGAATGGTCAAGATGATTAGCTCCGTAACCGAAGAGTACTAAGTCCACTCCTTAGTGGGTTCATAGGTGAGCACTTCTGATGAGTCTCTAGTCAGGATGAGACAGTTGTCCAGTGCTCCATCGTCATTGGTGACTCTCTTGCCAACCTTGATGCCTGACCAGATCATAGCTAAAATCAGCCCAAATGCCCGAAAAATCCATAAACCAAATTTCTTTTTTTTGAAAATGATATTAATGAAAACTGAGATTTAATGTGAATTAAATAAGGGTAAATAAATCCTATTGTAAGAACAATTACTTCTCAATACAGTTAAATAACACTCGTCTTGCTATCTTGCTTATCAACCGAATTCTAAAAAATACCTGGATATTGGATTGTAACACTGTTAGTAGTTAAATGGTAAAAGGCTTACTACACAATTTCATGAGCATTTTTAGCTTTGGTCTCAGATAATTTTGCGATGGAAGGGGAGAGAGGAATTAGTGAGTTAGAAATCAAAATAGAACACTTTTTGGTGGTTCTTTAATTAATCTCAATTCTATGTGCTGGTTATATATTTGAATTAAAACATTAAAAAAGATTTTAGTAACTTCCCTATAAGCAGGTTGCACTAAATTTAACAGTGAAAATGTTGTCCAGGTGGACAATCAGAGCTTTGTAATTAAACTATCCATCTCATTTTTAACAAGACAACACTAAAAGCATCCGCGTACGTTGCACATCTCCATTATGTCATTGGGAAACAGTTCTCCCTCCCTCTTTCTCTCTCTACATATATATATATATTTATCGGTGCTTCAGTGGTAGAATGTTCGTAACTGTGCAGGTGGTTCAAAGTTCTATTCCCAGCTGACGCACACCTAAACCTCTCTTAGACGGTAGTAAGCTCGATAAAGTAAAAAGACTGATCGTAAGGCCAGCAGCTCCACGCCGTAAAAGCGACGTCACTGCTGGAGAAACTTCAGATCTGAAGCTTGAAGCACTATGTTCCAAATGGAATGCTTCGGTTCATTTACTTGTCTCTTAGTGATTACTAACCTCACCAAAACTGATACTCTATTGACCAACAGATGGAAAGAGAAGTGGTGTTTCAGGTGCCATGTGTTTGGTTTCAATTTCAATGTTAACACAATGATTCACTGGGAAACAGGCAGATACTACTAATTAGTCTGAAATAGGTAGAAATGCAAATCTTGGATTTCAGCGTAAGCCATCATCTATCTGAGATTTATACACAAGTATATTATTCAGAAAGAACAACAAAAATAGAGTTTTTGTTTAATTTCTAGCGTTATATAACTCCGTGAATTTATAAGCCTAAGGCTTACATGATTATTCACTACTAGGTGTTTAGCTTCACTGTTCAAGTCGACTAATTAGGCTGAGGATATGTGGTTCAGCACCCAAGGCATTTGGTTGATAGCTGCATGACTGCTGCTGCTGCATGATCGCTAATTAATAAAGCATGCACTAATGTCCAGCAGTATTGATCTTGAAAATATAATTCATATTTCATTTCCATTCTTTTGCAGTTCATATGGAACACAGGACTTCAAGTTTGAGGTTTTCGAAGTTTCAGTGTTTTACAGGGTGGGTTCGTTAGCTTCACATCAAACCTCTCGCTTTCACTGGGGTTTCTGCTGGCTAAGAGAGATCTGGAAGTGTGCCAACAGGGATTCGAACCTGGAAGTCCTGAGTCGTTGTTAAACATTATGCCACACTCCGTATTTTTGACGATTTAATTGTTGTTCTACCTTTAGCTTAATAGTTTTCCACAGCTTATGTCACTTAAGGGAAGTTTGGGTAGTCAGTTGTCATTTACGCCTACTACTGAATCAAAACAAATGATTCAGCGAAGAGACTCTTTTCAACGAATTTATCATCAAGCTGTACAATCGTATATATATGGTTTTTAAGAAGTTATATCCGGTGAGGGAATTGAAACATAGGTGTGAATGCATGAAATAATAATAATATGAAATGCAATTAAAACTAAAATGTTTGTGATTATAATCGTAGTTAAAGGTCAAGTGGCAAAGCAAATTAATGTCATATATAGAATAATTCATAGGATGGATATAACTTGAAAAAGGTGTGCAATTATAAGATTAGTAGATAAATCGAAAAAATAAAAACGTCACGTAATATTGTGTGAAATTTAATAGCATAGAATTTAATGTTGCATAAAGGAATTGATTTAGAATGACAAGTGGAACAAGTGAAATAATACCGGGGACAATTAAAAGTGAGAGTGGTAATAGTAACAATTGACTTAATAAGGAAGAGTATACAAATTGAATAGACAAAAATGAAAAAGTATGATTGGGGATTACCATACTTTAGCATAGAGGGATTAAGACCATGAAAGTTGTCATTCTAAATCAATTCCTTTATGCAACATTAAATTCTATGCTATTAAATTTCACACAATATTACGTGACGTTTTTATTTTTTCGATTTATCTACTAATCTTATAATTGCACACCTTTTTCAAGTTATATCCATCCTATGAATTATTCTATATATGACATTAATTTGCTTTGCCACTTGACCTTTAACTACGATTATAATCACAAACATTTTAGTTTTAATTGCATTTCATATTATTATTATTTCATGCATTCACACCTATGTTTCAATTCCCTCACCGGATATAACTTCTTAAAAACCATATATATACGATTGTACAGCTTGATGATAAATTCGTTGAAAAGAGTCTCTTCGCTGAATCATTTGTTTTGATTTTCTATATGTTACAATGGGAATTTTCCATGATTTAAAAAATACTACTGAATCATCATATCTTCCTTACTCAATCTATCTTGATGTTAAATGGCTGGGGACGATAAGCAGAAAGCCCTCTGTCTAGACCTAGGTTTCGTTTATGTTGGCACTCGTCAGAAGGGCTTGTCTACAATCTTGAAGGAACTAATATCCCCTCTAAGATATGGACTCCAGTTTACCCAGTGTTTCAGTCACAAACTTTACCAATGAGTTATTCATGCCAATGATAGACCTCTTCCTCTACGGCTATATGGACACAGTGATTAGCCACACTATGAGGAATAACCAATATTATACATCTAGTTCTTGGTGTTGGTACACACTGAATTCTACCAGTTAAGTCTACTATACCCTCATGAAGCTAAATGACATTGGTTACACTCTAGTGACCAATCGACCTTCTTGCACCTTCCAACCCCCAGGGGAGAATTAAAGTGATTGAAAATATTATTACTCAACAATGTCCAAAAGATACGCATCATGCTTTGAGAAATCGGTGAATTAAATTCTCAGATTATTTATAGTCAATCGTGTAATACATTCTTTTTAAACCTGAAAAATAGTCATTTGGTGAATACTGTTTAAAAGTTGAAATGATAAATATTCAAAGATAGACAGACAAGTACGTGTGGTAGAGACAGAGAGAGAGAGAAAGAAAATCAAGTAGTCAGTATCCAATATACATAACATGTATGAACAAGTTATTGCCGTAATATATCTATCTATATATGAAATTTGTGTTTGTCATTTTACGTTTTGTTAGCCTTATTATTATTGCTATGTATTGCTATTCTAATCATTATTTTTTTTTAAATATATATATATATATATATAAATTCATTATTTATCGTTATTTTTGAATGTACAAGTCTTTCTACTAAAAATGTTTAAATTGCAACTGAATAAAATAATTCTGTTTTGGACATTTTGAAATATTCCAGTGTGATCAATGTATATACAGATAGATAGATAGATATATACAAATGGTATATATACATTGAACACTGGATGTGATTTTTATTTTCATGTACATTCACGTACATATTTGTGTAATCCAAGCTAATATTGATAGTTAGTCGAATGAACACTTATAGACTAAGGATGTTATTAGTCTTCACCTGTTAGGACAGTAGTAAAAATGTTAACTTAAACAAGGATTTTATTAGGATTTTAAATATTTAAGTCATGTAGACGTCAATCAGACAGAGTCTGTTGTCACTTTAGTTGATTTAACCATCAGCATATTTATATGTATATTGGTGTAATTAGTCTTCATGGTTCTTACTCCATAGGTGGTCATCAGCTTAGTTGTCTTCCATAGAGAATGGAATGGACAGGAAGTGATGCATTTTTGACTCTACAGTTCAGGATATGAATTAGGAACTACTGATAATGATGATACGGGGATTCATTAACAAGAAGTTAATACTAACCATGTAGCCAGTTCATAAGTTCAAACTATTTTAAAGCGCTATATTATTATTATTGTTTCCTTTAATTCCTAG